GGGGTTTTCCTAAAAGCGATGAAAGTTTTTCAATACAACTATATCTTTGAAAATGCACAAAAACCCGACTTATAGAAGATCTGCTAACACCTAAGCGTTTTGCAATTTTTCAAATTGAAAGAAAGGCCTTTTAAATTTTTTCAATAATTTGCCAGCAAATGTGGTTTGAAAATATCATATTTTTTGAATTCAACAATAGATGTGTGTAATTTTTTATTTATATCAGCCACCTAATTTTAAATTACGTATATTACAGTATTATATCAATTTTTATTGAATTTATTATGCTGAAAAAATTATCGGCTGAAAATTTTTTTTGGCTAATTTTTTATAGATGTCCCAGGAATAATGAAAACAGCTGTAACAAAAAACAATTTTAGACCCAGATTTTTTTGGCCAAATGATCTGCAAATTTGGCTAGAAAATTTGAATAACAAGTTTCTTTATTTGTCCAATGATGTAGATCTACTGATATGGTCTCATGTCAAGTTAAGTATTAATTATCATTTTTATTAGTTAAACTATTAAATATTTGGCATTGACTACAGTTTTAGCCAGTCGGCTAAATAGCGACTATAACAAATAGTCGTCTATAGTCGACTATAGTTATAATTGAACCTATCTCTAGATACAACACTTGCCAGTAAACCGTTCACTCTGTTCCAGTATGGTATTAATTTTTGATATTACAGAGTGAACCATGTTATGAAAATGCTATTATCACTATGTAAAATAAAATTCTTGTAGATTATAAATACAAATCAGATATTTACAGTATATCAATTTTTACAAGATTGTAAATAGCAATAATTAAATTGAAAAAATTTATTTCAACTCATGTATGCTAGGGATGAAAATGTTCTGATGTAATCATAATATGTAACAATAGTATTTATTTATTTAAATAATTTATCAAAATACAATTTTATCATTATCTCTTTTTAAAATATAAAATTATAAACAATTATACTTTGTGGGAGACCTCTATTAAAAGAAATTTGCTTGAACTTTACAAAAATCATGGAAATTGCAACTTGCCAAAAGTGAAATTACTATGGATAGGACTTTGTGGATTTAGTCACTTGATTAAAGGATTATTTATAAAGATAAAAAAGCTTCTAAGAAGTATGAAAATTTTATTAAATAATGAATGGGTAAACAAATTGTTGCAGACTATCAGAATTTAAGAATTCAAAAAGGAATTAAGATTGATGGTTGGTTCGAAAATGAAATTATAGTTATGTATTAAATTAAAAGGCATACAAAAAAGAATATACAGTCATCCTCTAAATATTACCTCCTTAAATGCAACACCTCTATAATGCACGTCTTCTTTTGGGCCTAGCTAATATTATATCTATAGATTTTTACCTCTTCAAATACAATATCTCTCTAAATGCACATGATAAAGCTGGTCCCAATGATATGTATTTAGAGAGGACTGACTATATATATATATATATATATATATAGTTAAGCAATTGCGCATTTTTTGTAATTATATAATAACAAAAGTTATAAAGTGATTATTTTTTTCTTAAAAGTTATTTCTATGAAATTTGGTGAATCACATTTTAATACTAAATTTTAAATTTTAGTCTCAGTGCCAAAGTTTTTTTAAGGGGAATTTACATATTGAGGCCCAAAAATTGAAAAATAATTACAAATTGAGGCCCAAGTTAAAAGTAATTACAAATAAGAGCCCAATTTTTATAGAAAGGAGTCTAAAATTTTACACGTATAAAAAATGAATAAATGTAATTTAATAATTATCATATAGCTAAATATAAAATGAAAAATATACTTATCTTTTATTTCTTTTAATTTAATCGCTTATTATTATTTCACTATACATTTATTACATTCCAAATATTTACTATGCCAAATACTACACTACTATTTTTTTGCTTAGCTTTAAATAACTATTCGGTTGAGCTTTCACTACCTTAGGGGGTATCCATAAATAACGTTATGTTTGGGGGGGAGGGGTCCCCCAAAATATAATGATTTTTCAATATTAGAGGGGTCCCCCAAAATATACCGTAATTTTTTTATAAAAATTTGTCTAGAATTTGATCCAGTAGTTCAAATTGGATGATTTTGGTACCATTCGAATCCTCTCGAGGAGAGGAGTCGAATGGTAACAATTTTATTTAATTTGGATTACTGAATAATGTTTTATTAACGAAATACTATTGGTTATTATGTTTTTTTATAAAATTACTATAAAATCAATAGTATTTCGTTAATAAACGTTATCCAGTGGTCCAAATGAAACGATATTGGTACCATTGGATTCGTCTCACAGAAACGAATCGAATGGTACCAGAATCATTCTAATTGAATCACTGGGTCATGATATATCCAAGTTTTTGTAAAATTTTATATATAAACATATGGATTTTTAAAAATTTTTTATATAGTCTAGGGGGTCAAGAGCTACTATGTAGGGGTACATAACATTATATATAGATGCCCCCTTATAAGTTCAAAACTAACAAATTGAACAAGTTATATGTAATGATGCTGCCTGAAACTTAGTAGTTTAGAATTAGACAAAACCGAAACTAGTTTTATCAGTTTTGGGCATAATTTATTTTTTTAAAACTAGTCTAAAATTCGAAACTATACCGAAAGCTAAAACTATCTAAAAGCTCAAAACTATATTAGAAGTTTAAAACTATATTACATATTCAAAACTATATTAAAATCATAAAACTATACCAAAAGCCCGAAACTATTATAATTCAGATCTAGATATTTGATAATTATCTGAATAAATGCTTAACAGATTAGAAGTTAAAGATGAGAAAGTTTGTATTATAAAATATTCTAATAGCTCTTTATGGTTAGTGTTAGAATAAGAAAATTTACATTATAAAATCATTCTAATAGCTCTTTTAAGTTAGAATTTGGTATTTTGATTATGGATATTTGTACTATATTAAAACTTTATAAAGAGTTTTTTTTTTGATGTATATTAGTCTATTTAATAATATAATATATCTAATTCACATAATTTACATGTGCAATGTATATTAATTATTCAATATGGTACTTAAATAATCTTTATTAATTAACCAATTTTTTGCTGTTTTATTAGTTTTTCTTTTGGTGATAGTGAGAACTAAACAAATCTTTATAATTGTTATATTGAAATAGCATATGTTATTGTAAAGAATACAAACAATATACAGTAATGGTCTATTATATTTCTGTTTGTGTATATATAGCATATGTATAGTATGTATATATGTACGTAGCTCTAGCTTACTAGAGTTATATGAATTAAATAGCAGCCTTGTGCATATATGCTACAATCACAATATACTAATTTAGTTAGACACTCATTGTCACAGCTGATGCTGAAAACGGCTAATGCTGAAATTTGGTGTCTCTATTTAAATCTATAATACCTACTAAAATCTCCATATACTTTTTTATTAATAAAACTACTCTACTAACCCTAACCTAACTATGAAAAAAAAGTGTAAAAAAAAGGCCCAAAATTTTTTATAATTTTATAAAAAAATATGAAAAAATTTCAGCATCAGCCATTTTCAGCATCAGCTGTGACACTCATTTATACCAAAAAAAGAAAAAATATAATTCATTTTATCAGTTACCAAAAACTTACTACTTTGGATAGTGATCAGTAGATTTGTCTAACAACTTCTCATATTCGGATATCTTAGATTATTTTTAAGCATTTTCAGAATCATTATATATTTATCAAGAGTTTTCATATTGATATTAAAATACATATATAATTAATGTGTACGTACATGTATTCCTAGTATATGATGTATTTAGTGTAAGTATCAAATAGAATACTAAAAACAATAAAGAAAAAAACATAGTAATGAGAAAAAAATTTATTTAATACATATCGTCAGCTTGAATAGTTTCGAAGCGACCAAATTATCATGTGTAATATGTAATCAATTTGAAAATAAATTGAAGTCAGATTTTGGATCAGACTATATTTATTTTATAACGTAAATTATTAGTATAATATTCATTAATTTAAAAGCTAAAGTGGTGATCAATAAATGATATAATAAGGTTGAGTCAATTTTGTATTTGTAAGCAAGGAAAAAAATTAAGAACTAATAAATACTTTTTTTTTCAAAACTAATACTTACCTGATTATTTTGCAAAGACTAAATGGATAGCCAAATCCCTAATTAAGTATATATATAATGATAAGCTAATATAAAACAATAGAGAAAAGAACATGTTAATAAGAAAAAAATTATTTAATACATATTGTTGGCTTGAATATTTTTGAAGCGACCAAATAATCACGTGTAATATGTAATCAATTTGAAAATAAATCGAAGCCATATTTTGAATTAGACTATATTTATTTTATGCCGTGAATTATTAGTATAATATTCATTAATTTAAAAGCTAAGTGATAATCAATAAATGATGTAATAAGGTTGAGTCAATTTTGTATTTGTAAGCAAGGGAAAAAATTAAAAACTAATAAATGCCTTTTTTTCAAAACTAATACTTACCTGGTTACGTTGTGAAGACCAAATGGATAGCCAAATCCCTAATTAAGTATGTATATAATAATAAGCTAATATAAAACAATAAAGAAAATAATGTGTTAATTAGAAAAAAATTATTTAATATATATTATTGGCTTGAATAGTTTCGAAGCAACCAAATTATCATGTATAATATGTGATTAATTTGAAAATAGATTAAAGCTATATTTTGGATCAGACTATATTTATTTTATAATATGAATTATTAGTATAATATTCATTAATTTAAAAGCTAAAGTGATGATCAATAAATGATGTAATAAGGTTAGTCAATTTTGTATTTGTAAGCAAGAAAAAAAATTAATAACTTTTTTTTCAAAACTAATATTTACCCAGTTATTTTGCGAAAACTAAATGGATGGCCAAATCTCTAATTAAGTATATAGATAATAAGTTAATATTGATACTGTGCGAATAGCACATGAATTTAAATACACATATATGAGTATCTGCTAATAATAGTTCGATTTTTACAATTTTTTTTTATTTAAAGTTGTTTATTTCGCATAAGCTACCTTTAACGGCTTCTCAAAATTTATTCAATAACTTCATATGATTTATCTTCAATGGCTTCGCATTATTCATCTGAAGCTGAAAGAGAAACTGAAAATAAAACACATTCAAAACATCCTGAAGGAAGACCACTGGATCCTGTTTGGGAGCATTTTGCTACAACTGCATTAAAATCACCTGGCCATTTTTCTGCAGTATGTAAATATTGCAATACTCAATTTAGCCATGGGCGTCCAAATGAACTTGAGGTGCATCTTGCAAAAGAATGTGAAGGTGAAAGCATTGATGATGAAATAAGAAGCAAATATTTTGAAATTGCAGTTCAGAGACAACTATCAAAAGAAAAAACTAGTTCAAAAAATTAATCAAAAAAACAGAAAATAAGTATTAATGATTATTGGGAAACTGAAAATCAATTTTTGGCAAGTCCTAAGAAAGAAGCAATTGATTGTGACATTGTTTATTGTAATAGTCTCAACAATATTAGCTGATATTTGATAATAAAGATAAGCTTAATTTTTATATTAGAATTTGAGACAAAATTATTATAATATCAACTAAAAAAATTTAAAAATAGGTTTAAAACAAAAGATACAGAATTACTATATAATATATCAAAAACATATTAATTATTAATAAATATACAAAAGAATTAATTAATTTTTTTTTTTTACTCTTTAACAGTCTTGCCAGTGCTCAATTTATTTAAAACTATATTTTGGTGAGAGTTGAATTCTCTTGAACAATATATATCATTTATAACCTAAACAGGAAGTCTCGCAATTGTGAGCCTAACATTATCTGGCTGTAATTGACATGCCCATCTGCAACTTGTTACACCAACTTTGATATACTTTGTTAGCCTGTCAAAGCTTTTCTCTTTATATTCTCTTTCTTTACCAAGAGCAAAAAAAAGTAATGATCTTATATCTAATACAAAACTACCAATAATACCAAAGAGACAAAATGAAAAACTAACTAAAAAAAACAAATAAAATGAAGAGGAAATTTTAAAGGAAATAAAGGAGTACAATGAAATGCAAAAAAAGAAGAACAAAGAAAAAAGCCTGAGGGCCAACAAAGAGGGAACTATCTCTATCAAGAAATAGTACAAATAGAATGAAAGAAAAAAGAAAGATACACTTTTATAACCCATGCCAGGTTTAAGAAAAAATTTATAACAACTGCAGTGTTTGTATATCTTGACTACAAAATCTAACAAATTATTATCTGACTATAGGCTACCTTCAGATATCTCTTATTCCAGAGACCTAATCCCAGTCACGTGGAGGTCCCAAATCTATAGATAATATCATGTATCATATCTACTGATAAACAAAGCACATGGTTAAATCTTGGGTACATCCGAATTTGGGAGATAAACAATGCCAATTTTTTGGAGAGTAAACCAAATTGCTCACTTTTTGTCAAAAATTTTAGAGAAGACTGGCTGAGTAAAAAACACCTAGAGAGAGACCACTTGTATCCAAAGAAAGTAGTTACATCCATGTAAAGACTCAACAACTCCTAAACCTTCTTCTAGAAAAGGGGTGGAGCACCTATACTTTCTTTTGGGTGAGTGATAAACTCTGGACTTGTCGGCAAGTAGCATATGAGAACTACTTCTAAATGACAAGTGCTGTGCCTGCAGTGAGTGATAAACTCTGAAGAAGTTAGCAAGTAGCGTATGAGAACTACCTCTAAATAACAACTGTCAACTTATAGCTGCTAGTATGCTCTCTATGTTTTACTAAACACTATTGTGTTTTTTACAAAAATTGTGTTTAGATTTTTTGATACAGATGATCATTAGAAAGTGTGCATTACTAATTTTGGAATTAATTAATTTTATTTATATAAAAAAATATGAAATACATATAAATAAAAAAGAATAATATTTATTAGTAATAACCTCAAACTTATTATTACAATATAAGCTTAATTTTAAAAATTTTATATTAAATTTTATTAATAGTAGTAATTTTTTAAATTTAGTTGCTTTAAATTTATAGAAAAGTGTTTATGATTATAGAAAATAATAGTATTTTTTATATTCAATGGCTAAATTTTTGTTCAGAATCTATAAAATAAAAGTGAATTAGTAAATTATTTATTAAATACCCATATTTATATTATTTATCATATATTACTTTTATAGTAAAGTATTTATAAATATAAAAATATAATTAGTATTTTTTTATATTTCAATAACTAAATTTTGTTGTTCAGAATTAGTAAATTATTTATTAAAAAACACATATTTATAATATTTATTGTATATTACCTTTATAATCTGATTTAGTGTATAAAATAAATTTGCTTTCAAAATATAATTGATTTATATTTAGCATAATTTTATTATCAATAATAATTTCCAAAATTGTGCTACGATCATCATTTTTATACAATTTTAAAAAATAGTCAGATGAAATTCTATTATTATTTATATTTTCATATAAATTTTCTATAAAATTTTCAAACTCCTCATCCTCATCTTTAATAAACATTTGTTTTAGTTCTTCTAATGATTTAACATTGAATAATTTTACACTGCATTCTGATGCAAGATGTAAAGGTCTTCTTCAGATTTCTCAAATTTGGTTAACTCAAATAAAATTCCGTTATCATTCTGCCATTTTGTCAAGATCTTAAAAATTTCTATAGCTGATGGTCGTTTTTCTGGGGTTTCTTCCCAACATTTTTTCATAAGACTTTCATAGAATTGCGGAGTGTTTTCGCAAATTGTCGGTCTTAAACCATTGCAAATTTCTAGCTGAAGTTCTAATCCAAATATTTGATCATGATATGCAAGTTTGCCTGAAAAAATTTCCCACATAATTATTCTAAATGAATAAATATCTGATGCCATCGTATATTGTTCTCCTTTTGATATTTCTGGTGCTACATAAGGTAAAATACCAAAGAATCCATCAGATCTTGATGCTGCATTAACTGACGTTGAAAGTCCTAAATCTGCAATATATGCAACATTTAATTCATCCTGTAATATGTTTCCACTATGTAAATCACGATGAATAAAATTTTGCGAATGCATAATTTGAAGGTCAGAAGCAATGCAAATCAAAAGTGCTAATATATCTCTATATTCCATTAGCGTCACTAAATAAAGATTTTCACGTAAAGATCCCATTTTCGCATATTTTGTAACAATTACATAATCTTTTGAAACATCATCTTTTGAAACTCCATAGCACTTTAAAAATACAGGATTCTTATATCCAATTTCACAATATGTCTTTAACTTTAATAATTAGAAATAATTAAAATAAGCTATAAAATTATAAAGTATTAAAGCATAGTATTGTATTTAAAAGTAAATTACCTCATTCATAAAATTTTCATGATTATATTTGGATGATCCATGAATAATCTTAAGCGCAACTTCTTCATGTTTAAATGCATCATGACTTTCAGAATTCCAAATAGCATAATACACTGTTGCAAATCCACCTCGACCTATCTTCTTTAGATTGTTAAATTCATTGTAAGGAATCCAAAATAATGAATGGTTATTCTCACTTAAAACCTCTTTTAAATCATTATTAATATCAGGATTTTCATGTAACCTTTTATTAGTTGCTAAGAAATTTTATGTAATTAATAAATTGGTATAAAAATTTTATTATCGCATTTAAAATTTCATGCTGAATAAGTTTACTTATAGTAAATACGTGTAGGTACCATATTTAAATAAAACTTGCAGCATGAAATATACACTTTATCAGAAACCACACCAATAAATAACATTAATATATGCGGAAATAAAAATACCTGTCATATTTGTTAAATTTGTTAAGAGATTATAATGAAATCTGAACCTCATAATTTTGACCTCTAGATGTCAGATTATTTAAATTGTTACCATTTGTTCGCTTTTTGTAAATTTCTTTCGGTTCCGATTCCATTTCGATAACAATAACCAACTTTAAATTTTGCTGCATAATTTCCTATATCAGCTGATTTTTGATAATAAATAAATGCCTTGTGTGTATCTATTTTAGTTCCAATTCCTTTTTCGTACACTGACCGAGAATTTTCAATCCTTCACTGTCCTCCATATCAGCAGACTTATGATAATATCTGAAAGCCATATAAGCATCTTTTTTAATTCCAATTCCATTTTCGTAGCAGTATCCAAGCCAGGCCATTCCAGAAGAATTCCCAACATTGGCAGATTTTTGAAAATAAATAAATGCTTTGTGCCTATCTATTTCAATTCCGATTCCTTTTTCGTAACAACGACCAAGATTAGCCAATCCACTCCCGTTCTCCATATCAGCAGACTTTTGATAATAGCTGAAGGCCATTTTTCAACTCCTATTCCATCTTCGTAGCAGCATCCAAGCCAGTTCATTCCAGAAGAATTCCCAGTATTAGCAGATTTTTGAAAATAAATAAATGCTTTGTGCCAATCCATTTCAATTCCAATTCCTTTTTCGTAACAACAACCAAGATTTAACAATCCACTACCGTTCTCCATATCAGCAGACTTCTGAAAATAAACAAATGCTTTGTGCCTATCCATTTCAATTCCAATTCCTTTTTCGTAACAACGACCAAGATTTTTCAATCCATTACCATTCTCCATATCAGCAGACTTCTGATAAAAACTGAAGGCCATATATTCATCTTTTTCAACTCCTATTCCATTTTCGTAACAGTATCCAAGCCAATCCATTTCAGAAGAATTCCCAATAATAGCAGATTTTTGAAAATAAATAAATGCTTTATGTTTATCTGTTTCAGTTCCAATTCCTTTTTCATAACAACGACCGAGATTATTCAATCCACCACCGTTCTCCATATCAGCAGACTTCTGATGATAACTGAAAGCCATATATTCATCTTTTTCAACTCCTATTCCATCTTCGTAGCAGTATCCAAGCCAGTCCATTCCAGAAGAATTCCCAAAATTAGCAGATTTTTGAAAATAAATAAATGCTTTGTGTCTATCCATTTCAATTCCAATTCCTTTTTCGTAACAACGACCGAGATTTTTCAATCCATTACCGTCCTCCATATCAGCAGACTTTTGATAATAACTGAAGGCCATATATTTATCTTTTTCAACTCCTATTCCATTTTCGTAGCAGTATCCAAGCCAGCCCATTCCAGAAGAATTCCCAACATTGGCAGATTTTTGATAATAAATGAATGCCATATTTTCATCTTTTTCAACAACAATTCCCTTTAGATAAAAATAAGCAAGATTGTGCATCCCCTCATAATTAATGGCCTCGGAAGATTTTTTAAAATGAGTGAATGCTATATACTCATCCTTTTCAATACCAATTCCCTTGTAATAACAAACTCCGATTAGATTTATTCCTTTATAGTTACCCAT